AGGAAGTCCTGCTCTCGGTTCATACATTCACATGCGCTGTGAAGTTGAGCAACAGTTACAGCTTGACTGCTCTGTTTGACTGGACTGCTGTCCCTGTGATTATTTAACAAACATGGAAAGAAAAAATCATTTTTTACAAAAGTGAATCTACAACAAAATGTTTTTTTTTGTTATTATACTGTTGTACAACTGACATGGTGTCAGTGGAGGTGAGGCCTCATACTGACAACACTTTATCTGTGGGGTGTTAATAATCACAAGTGAAATTTGACTGCTTTGGCACTAAAGGTGAGGATGAAGAACGAGGGAGATTGCGCCCCCTACAATTTCAAATGCTTGCATGAAATGGTAGAACTTGTTCCTAGTTAATCATGACAGCTGTACACTGTTAAACAATGGTTTTCACACCACAGATAGATGTTGAATGAATGCCTACAAGTGCCTTAATATAGGCTTTTAATTTTTTTTTTGCTAAATCCCATTTAGCTCTGTAACATTTCTTTTGTTGTGCATCATCTTATTTTTTTATTTAATTTTTTGTATGTAAAACATATTCCTCATTTGCTCCACACACTTCCTGCTGCTCATCAACATAGTCCAGGCTGTGATTCTGTTGTCTTTTAAGTGCAAAAATGCAGTTTTTCTGTGTGTTCCAGTGTTGGTGTGGTTGGAAAGAACAACCTGACCTTTAACAAATGAGGCAGGGTCATGTATGGACACCGTGGGCGAGTGGGGGGTACGAAGGAGGTGAGGGGGGCAAGAATAAAGGAAGAAAAGGCAGAATAAAAAAGCCGGGTGAGAGATCTGTCCGGGGCGAAGCTCTGACAGGATTAAGTCTCAGCGACACGAGATGTGATTGAATTTCAATGAAGTAAAACACGTGAGAAAATAACACGGAATGAAATGAAGCATTGGCCGCACACACACAAACACACACACACACCGTGACCTATGGCCTCAAAGTGAAGAGAGAGAGAGAGAGAGAAAAAAAGCTAGGACTCTCCAGGAGACACAAATAACAAAAACAAGGAATTGAAAAAAGCCTTAAGCCTTAATCTGCTCCAACGTACAATAGTAAGAGTTTTAATCTAATGCCATATATTTTAAAGACGTCATGCGACACACAAGGATTATGAAAGTTTAGAACAATCATCGCCATAATCTTCGTCATCACTCCAACTAATATGGAGTTCAGTCAAACTAAGGTGCCGTTTGAGTCGTAGTTTTGATGACATCCTCATCGGGCCGCCATCTGAAACTCAACTAAGTGAATTTAAGATTCCTCCTAATGTGGATCTCTTCCCAACAGACCTGAAAAACTGATGATCTTTTTTCAGGTGCAGTGTCTCCTCTGCTGGTGCTGTTGCCATGGCTGCGACAACGGCAGATAATCGCTCACTCTCTCTTTTGTGGCGTTAGCGAATGTCCAAGAAAACCGGAGGTAAATTACGGCCCTGAGCAAACAGCCGTCAGCAAGTGAATAGGAAGCTTCTGCTGCTCCCAGAATGCATCAGCAGATTGATGTGAGGCAGTTTGAGGCCCCCGCGCACGGCTGATTCACGGCGGCGGCGTCTGCGTCTGCGTTCCATTACATTAAAACCTTCCTGAACAACAACGCGGCTGTGAGCGTGGGAGGAAGAGATCCATAAGCTTAGACAGACGCACAAAGAACTGTATTTGAGCCCTGCGTCACATTTGTGTGCAAAGACGTGATAAAGGAGGACAACGTGTTTACCCACGTGTCACTCCTCCTCCTCTATCTCCTCCACCAGGAGGCAGCATCCAATAAACAAAAATCACACCAGACAGGAACCTTCTGCCACTTATGCAACATCTCTGACAAAGACCTTTGTGCATCACGGAAACAAAACTACTGTTTTTATGTCTGTATGGACCAGTGTACAGTTGAGGTCGAGCTAATGTTGACGCTTACTCTTCATCTTCTGTAGTTGGAATTACGGCAACCTCATCATTTAGTCAAAATCTCTTCTCTGTTGCAGTAACAGCAATTTCATAGATGTCTTTATTTAAAGAATCCTTTGGTTTCATCAACATTATTTTGTATTCTATAGTTTTTCAGCATTTCTCCGTCCTCTCTGTCTGACCTGTTCTGACCATTTTGTCGAACAGTTTAGAGTTTAAAGACGTCCTCAAATAACATGCTTTGGTTAAACTGCAACCCTTAGATTAGATTAGATTAGATTAGATTAGATTAGATTAGATTAGATTAGATTAGATGTGATTAGAAAGGAGTTTCTGGATTGGAATTCATTGGTTTGGTTTACTTTAGTTTAGGTCATTAATTAAATAAGTAAAACCAGGTTAATAAAAATTAATATATATGAAATTATGTTGGATTATTTTAGATTAGGAGTATAAAATTGCCATTCAAAAACTAAAAGTAGATGATTCAAAAGTTAAGTTGAATTCGGTTGATTTTAGTATTGTTCTTTGGCTTGTTTGTGGCTTTTAAAAAAAGAAAAAAAAGATTAGTTTGTATGGTATTGTATCAGACTGGACTGGACCTTTTTGAATTTTATCAGAGTGGATGGAAGGTCTCGTGTTAGATTATGTGGCTGCAGATTAATGCAAACAAAGAACTGAAACACTTATCCGGACACAAATAGCTTTTGTCTGGAAATTGTGGTTTGTTTTGAAACATTTCTATGTTTTAATTGGTAAAAGGGGTTTGGTGCCACTTGTAGAGCAGAGAGAGAGACTGGGGTTGAGTGAGAGAGAGAGAGTGAGGGGGCATATGGTTTGGAGTGCAATAACTTGAATTTGCTCCAACAAAGGAGGAATTGAGTTAAGGAGAAGGAGCTGTGAGTCTTGACTCGACAAAGCTGCAAAAACTCTCCTTTCAGCCTAATGAAGCTGTTGTCTGGTGGTGGTGGTGGTGGTGGTGGAGCAGGGAGGGGCCACTCTGGACGTGATTTGTCATACATTCTGAATCTTTAGGGCTGGAGAGAGAGGAGCAGAGGAGAGAGACCTCCTCTCCATATGTCTGCTTCGTTTGCATCTGAAAGCTGGAGGGAGGAGGAGTGGCTCAAACAGCCTCCTGCATCATCAGGTCTGAGGCTATTTATGGTTACTGCTTTAGATGCTGATTTTCCACAAACTAACGCAAACAATGAAAAATAAAAACGAACATCAAAATGTCAAACTTTATTTATTTTTTCATATTGAGTACAATGCTGCCTTTGTTGAGGTAAACAGTAGTAAGTACTCGAACAGATGAATTGAACTAATTAAGTTTTAAAATAACAAAAACATGGTATTAGACGGCTCGGGGTAAAAGGCTTTAAGATTCAAGGTGTAAAACGTATCTATGAAATAGAAGGTGTTTTTAAATTATTAGATTTGTCTCAAATGTTCATTTCATAATTTAAGAATTATATAATTAAGAATAAGTAAATAAATGCATCAGCACAGTTTGTCAATTTGACTTTTGTTAAACTTTGTTAAAATGGTAATTAAAAAAATAAAATCTTTCTGCATGAACAGCACAGTACCTTGCTGTGGAAAGTCAGAGTGTTTGACACTGACCACAGAACACTTTATGTTATTAAAACCAGAAACTCTTTAGAAACATGATCATTGCTCTGAAGTATCATTGTTTTTCCTGTAGATACTCTTTAGACTTTTTTAACTGAGAAGAAGCATCTCAGTGTTGGTGAAGAGAAGTTTCTACTGAATATTGCAGGATTATTTTTTAAATGGACAAGCTGAAATAGAGACCTTTATTTTGAAAACATTAAAATTAATCACCTGGACTGAATGGAGGCAAAGGCAGCATTTATAAGCTCTATTGCAAAATGTTAATAAACATCATCATTGTTACCTACAGTATATACTGTATACCAAACTGAAATGCCATTTGCAGTTTATACAAATGAAAGTTAGCCATTTTGACATGTCAATTAGTCACTAACTCTGACTCTTTAATTTGTGGGTTATGACAGCAAGGATGATGAAGATGATGATTATGGGATGAAGGAGGCGCTCCTGACATACAGACACCTGGGTCATGACCCTGTGGCTCTTTGCAAACATCTGTGGCTGCTGCGCATTCCCTGACACTGTCCTCTGACCAATCAGCTCTCTGAAACAACGAGCGACCTGCACCCCGCGGCCACGCCCACCCCACGCTCATCTACATGCGCTTCTGTATGGAGTACTCTGATCTATGGTCTCTGTCTTTGTGTACCTCAGACATGGAAGAAGAATATGAAGAAAGAAGAGAATGATGATGCGCTAACGATATGGAGGAGGAAGATCACATCAGGTCTGATTCTCTGCTGCACCCTGGTGGTTCAGCTGCTGCTGTAAACCTGACCGATACACCTTTTTGGCCCACAAGTCTGCAACCTCAAAGTGCAGTGTTCCTTTTGGTTTATTTTGGAACATCAGCTTAGGATAAATATTAACGTAGTTGCAGTTATTTTAGACTCATATATATCCTTACTGCTTTTTTAATCTTTGGTTTATTTTATGTACTGTGTGAATTAATTTGAACTCTTTGATTTGACAGTTGGGGTCATTCTGATAACTTGGTGAGTATCAACAATTGTTTTGTTTAAATAAGTTTTTTTCTTTTTGCCATGATGATTTTTTCTCAAACCACACGTCATACAAGATGCTTTAATTAGTAAAAACGTTTGAGGTAGTGTTGACCGTCTTTCTCATCAGCTTGAGTCCTTGGCTTTAAATGTCAAAGACCACTGGTTTATAGCACTGCTGTTTTTCTACGCACAACAATGTATATCGATTGCTTAGGGCGCGTGGGTACTATTTTGTGACATTTAAATTGTGAAAATTTGTAAATGTTCTAAATTAGGACAGTTTTTTCCTTGAAGTACTTTGTTAAAATGCACCATCTTTACTAATCGTTACTGAATAACATATGGTCATTGCTGCCCTCTATCGGACAAATTTAAAACTGCGGCCTGTTCCTTTTAATGTACCAATACTATTTACACAATTTAATAGAAATTCATATTGTGATATGGTCATTTGTTAATTTTTTTTATCCTGCTTCCATCTCAGTTATACATGGACATATCAATAACAGTATTAACCCATTTTTAAATCATGGCTTGCTATGAATAGAAGTATTCCCAGCTCTTTAGAGATAGGCACACACACATAGATGGCACCACAGAAACAGACAACATTTCTGAGTAAACATTTTTAAAATTTTAATTCATTTAAGAAAAAATAGATTTTTTTAAAACATTTTCCTTCAATAACTTTAATACAGAACATTTAAAAAAAACCTCAAACCTCAGTTAATAAGGCAGCAGAGACAGACAAACTATTTGGTGTGTTAAACAAGGGTCCAACAGGGACTGTAGGGATCA